CAGCGTGCTGCTGCTCCCCCATCCCTGGTATCATCTGGTTATATAAGTCAGACTATTTCTCCTGCTCTTCCTCCATCCATGGCCCAACAACTTGCAGGAATGATCCTCATTTGTGGAACCCAGAAACAGTTGTCTGCAAAAGGAAATGTGAGCCAAGGGCTTAAAGGCAGGAAAGAGGATTATGTTGTGGAAGATATGTCCAACGGCTGCTTGTGTATTTTTGAATATTGCGCATGCGTCAGTGGCCCCTCCTTTGCAAAAGATCTCTACGCTGGAAATGCCTCCGCTGGTTATTTTGTATTTCACCTTGAGTGGCAGCAAAGTGCCAGGATGCTCCTAGTCAGCAGAAAATCTCCATAAGAAGAAGAGGTTTCTGCCGGCGTTATCACAGCAAGATATATTTATAATTTGTTAGTGTGTTCTCGCTGCTACAATTTAGTTTGGGATGAATTATTATTATTTTATTTAATAAACCATTTCACTCGGCACACCATCTCTGAAAATAAAAGAAAGAAGATCTTAAACACACACTTAGCAGCTACATTCTCTCCCAATTTCTATCCTTTTTTCAAGTACATCTTTTCCGGTTAGGTTTGTCAGGATTATTTTCAGTTATTGACGCTCCAGGTTACACAAAAGAGTAAACAAATAGCTGCAGCAGTAAACAACCATAGAAGTACTTATTCGTGTGGTGTAATGGTGGACTGCTAGCCAAACAGCAGATAAGTTACGCTTGGAGCCTACCTACATAAAGTAATTGGGTTCCGTACACAAAATATTTGATTGACAAACAAGTATCCACTTTCAACAATAGGCAAAGTAGATTAGCTAATGTTTTGTAGGCACCACCATGGCCAGAGTTTATGGATAAAACATTTTTTGGGGGGGACCATAAGTGCAACAATGCCATCCATAATGTAAATCATTTTAGATGAATCTGGACACTTTTTCTGAGAAAAATCCTCTTTAATACCTTTAACTGAGATCTATTTATCAGTTTTCTTTAAAATATTTGCACCATACGTATTTAATGCTCTGACCCTCCATATAAATTTGATCACTGCTGCACTTCATAGAATGGAAAACGAAATTTCGTTTTGTATACAACCTATGGATACAAAATGACAGTAAAAGTTGCATAATTCTGAGTCTTAAAATACTCAGCCATCCTCTTGTTTTTGATTGTGCTGCTTGTTACCAGTTTTACGGTTGCAGCTTGTCTTTCCTCCCATTCTTTGTTCTTTCGGCTGCCTCAGAATCTGATTGGAGAGGAAAAGCTCTGCCTGTTGGTTGGTGATGGTTGAAGAAAGCTGTATGCATAAGTAAATAAAAGTTGTAACTAAGCTGCCATTTGTAATCTTTTCTCTTTGTGTCACCAGGATTTAAGTTGTGAAAATCGAAATAAACAAAGCTGCAAGCGTTGCTCATTTGTTATTGGCTGAGGAGTAAAATTAGCACAGAAAAGTGACAACACAACATATCTTTTCAGAATGAAACATCTAAGCAGCAGCAGGAGTAGCTGGTTCTCTGCTTTCTACTTGGCCTTCATCATGTTCTTCCTCCTTCTCTTCCGCTGACCTACTTCCTAATGCTGGGAATGAGAAGATGAATCGGTGCTCTGAATACAAAGTGGCAGCAGCATCTCCACTTATACCCATTCTTTATGTCAATAATGTTGCTTATCTGTTCCTCAAACTCCTTTGGCTCAAAATGGGGGCAAGTCTACCATCTTTGCCTCAGGGCTTTGGGTATTTTCTTGTAGTGCTGTTTGAATTTTGACTTGACATACAGTAGTACACAGGGCTTCATTGTGCTAAATTGACAGAAGATGCGTATGAACAAAATTCCATGATTTGACCCCGATGTTCTCATATTGTGTAAACGATGCACTAAATAAAGGCATTTAACTATACAGAATCTCAGATGGTGCAGGGAAATGGCAAAAATATTGTTGAAATAAATTATGAATAAATACATGTACTGTATAACCTAGATGGAAGTCTGAGTGGTTGGAGCAAATTTGGAAAGATTTTTATATCTGCTGTGGATGAGAACCAAACAAGGTTCTTTTATAGTATTACCCATGTATTGCATTAGGTTATCAATATACACTATGTGGTCGTTTGGGTTTTGAACGTACCGAAACTCTGCGTAATAGTAGTCTGATTTTAGCAGTTCTGGTCATAGTAGTTGTACTTGTATTAATAACACATTGCATTACTAAATAATGAGGGTTTTTCTGTATTCTATTATTCAGGTATTATTCTATTTATTGGTTTATTATTCAGATCTCTGCAGGGCCAACATTTAACGTGTCTGTCTTACATAATGAAAAATTTTTTGGGATTTCTTTGAACAAAGGGCTACATGTTGTTTCCCTGAAAAAGAACAAAAAAAGGGTCCCAGAATATAGTTTTGAGGATTTTTTATTTTTTTTTTTATTGTAGTTTAAATTTATTTTAAGTTGTCAATGGAGAGAATGGGGCATTTGGTGGACAGGAAAATCCAGAAAAGGAAAGCCAAGCTTACAGTCTAACCAGTAAAAGCTTTGTCAATATAGTCTACCTGTTACAACTTAGGAAAGGGAAAAAAAAAAAAAGCTTTTTCAGAATTTTATAATAACCTTTTGTAGTTTGAATTGATGACCTTGTCTTACATTGTTAAATTAACATATTAAAACGTTTTCCAATCGTCTTGAAGGGGCCACTTTCTTCACTTTAATTCAAAGTATATCTTAAATAAAAGTAAGTATGCAAAGTACTTTCTTAATCCAGCATATAAATCCTTTAAAATAACGAAAAAAATGTGTTTTTCTGCAAAACCACTCCCAGAATGACAGCAGTGACCCAAACCTGATGATTCAGTAAGAGACAGGAAACAGAAAGAGGAGGATTCAAGATTGAATAAGTGGATGCTAAGCAGTGGCAAGGAAAAATTACATATGTTACCGTCGGATGAAGAGTTGTTGCACGGAGCTGTCTCTCTAATTTAGCCTAGAGGAGAGGAATAATGGAAAATGACAGGGAGGGAGGAAAATATAAGCCTAGAGATGGTCTGATGGCAGCGAACATGCTCTATCTGGTTGAGATTGCATACAGACAAAAGTTACATAAATGGCCAATCTTTAATTCCTGACTGTCTTATTATTTGGACTATATATAAGGTATGCTGCGTGCGTTTGGATTCCTCCGAGCTGGAAGCAGGCCAGCTGGACTGGTGTTGAGTGAGGGCTGCCTGCACGTGGGCTTTGGTGAGAGAGTGAAGATGAAGGCGATAATGAGAGACACAGGATAGGAGCGTAAGGCTGTGTGTCTTTTAGAGTAAGGGTTAAAATAATTTACAGAACTAAAACATTGTAGGACAATAAAATGATAAAACAAAAATAATAATAATAATTTAGAAACTGCTACTCTTCTTCCAGAGGTTTGGTTGAGGAAAAAAAAACACCCATAAAGATTTTACGTAAAAGAAACATAAGCAAGGTCGTTAAATTAATTTATTTTTCAGCTTGTTGTTTAAGCAGTTTGTTTAGAGCGCTAACAGTATCCATTAAACCAGCTGCAATATAAATGCAATAGGTTAAAAGCTATAATTAGCTTTACAGCCTTAAGGTTGGTCACTGCTATCCTGGGGTTGGGTGGGGGTGGAAGGGTTGTCACCTCAGCTTTCAAAACACATATACATGGTGTCAAATAAATCGCATGCATCTTCAGCATGTCATGAATGATTTCACTGACCAGCAAACTACTGATGCAACAGACATGAAATAATGTATGCTTGTTAAGGTGATTATAGGGGGAAAAATGTAAGTATTTTTCCTATTTTGGTTGTGAAAAACATTTAATTTAGCACTGATTATGTCCATAACTCTGGTCTTTTTACCAACTGAAAATAACAACTTGTAATGGGAAATGTTTTATAATGGTCAAATGGGAAATATAGTTAGTCTTTTTTCTTTCTCTGCTTGTTCTTTCTGAGGGACAAGTACATCCATAAAGAATTTATTATACTGCTAAATTTAGACTGCACAGTGAGAACTCCTACACCGAACAAACGCAGGCAAGAGATGGTGGAGATTCGTATTCAGGAAACAGTATATTGGGATAGGAATCTCTGTATACTGAAGTAAAAAAATGGAATTGCCTCATTAAACATTTGTGTTAATGCTCTCAGGATGTACCTACCTCTTTAAAGGCCAAGTAAAAATATCTGAATGAGGATGTAACATTTATAGACGGCTTATTCTTATGATGTGGTTCAAGACCTGATACTCTTTTGCTCCTTTGTATTTGTCGTTCAAGTAATTGTGTTGATTATGAAAGTTGAAAGTATCTCCAAAACATTTGCCTTGTCATCCAAAAATATGCTAAAGTAAAGCATACCAAAGGTCATTGGTCAGAATGTGGTAAAACGAGAAGAATTAATGAAGAAGGAACCACCAATGCCCTTTTCAAAGCACTCAGAAGGTTTCTGCATTACAGTAGTTTTCTTTATAAAGTTTTCTGCAGATCCATTATTATATCTTTATCACAAGCGATTTCTCTGTTGTGGTAGAAGTGCAAACACTGTCGAAATGATGCTTTTGGAATCAAAGGCTTTTTTTGGTAAGACTGCAAGAAAATCCCCAAACTGGCCTTTGAAAAACCACTTAATTGAGAATTTCCTCTGATGCACATTCTGCAGGTGGCTTTGTGATGTTTGTGTGGATGTGGTGTAGGTTTGAGGCTGCTGGAAACATGCATCACTTCTTAGTATCAGAGATGATGAAACAAAACGCTTCTCTAGATATGGAACAAAGCATCTTAAATCTTCTTGAACAAAGAATTATTCAGACAATACGATTGCCGGCATCTCTAATATTTTCCATTTTTCTTCTCTCTTTTCCAGATCATGCCCCCTAGATAGCAGTCTCATCATCCTCTCCACTCCCCCCTCCCTTGCCCCTTCCTCTGCATTCCTGGTCCAGCACCACCACTGCCAGCTTCACCGCCGTAGCCACCATGCCCCCCAGGAAGAGGACGCGGGCGGGTCTGGGCTTCCTGTGCTGCTTCGGCAGCAGCGAGCCCCCAGAGATCAACCTAAAGGACACAGTGCCGCTGCAGCTGCTGGAATTCAGCTCCCCGATGCCACCTGCAGAGGAGCTGAATGCACGCTTCTCTGAACTGGTGGTGAGTAAAGATGAAGTCTTTCTTTATATGATCAATAAACATTTTGAAGTTTGGCACCACATCTCCATACTTGATCGAGGCTGCTTCTCTATAAATCAATATATTCATGCAACATGGCGTGATGATCAGCCATTGGCTTTTTTTGTGTTGAAAGAGCCACAGTTGCTTGAATATCAGCCTTAGGGGCCTTTGAAAGAGATTCCCAAGACATGCCTGATTTGATCACTTAGAAAACAGTCTATTTTTTAAGCCACTCCAATAATTTTTTTAACCAGTTTTATAAAATGCTTTCACAGAGTTCTCTAATGCAAGGGATGTGGCAGTTGCAGCTCAGATCCTAGATATGTGTGTATGTGTTTCCTGTTGAAGCTCTGACTGCAGCCTCACTTCACAACTCAGCAATCCCAAAAATCCTGTTGACTTGACATTTTTTTCAAAGTTCCTGTTCAGTTTGCACTTTTTCGACCACACTTTTTTCCTTCCAGTCAACTTTCTGTTATTATCTCAGGATGAAGTTCCTGCTTCTTATGCAGTTACCAGCTCTACCTTTAAGTCGTAGGGAAACGGCTGTTCCAACCGTTGCAGTTCGGAGTTCTCCCGAGTGGTGCACAACTTTACACAAGTGAATAGAGTCAATGTGATTGGTTGTTTATCAAGAGGGCGGGATTGTTGTGGCTAATAGGTTCCCAATGGGAAATTCCATTGGGACCAAGTAGCACTAAATTGGTGACTTAGAAACGACACTGTCAAGGAACGCTATGGACAGTGGAAACATGCAAGAGGAGGAGAGTTTTGTGTTGGAAGTCCGTCATACATTTTTTATTTAGAGGAGGAAAGCGGGGACGGAGATGTTGTTGAAGAGGACGCCAGGGCGGCAGAAGCTTGGTTTGGTGTAAAAGGCTTCCAGCCGTACATGTTTGAGCCCTTGCCTCGCAACGCTGCCAGTTCTGTTAGCTCTACGCCTGCTGAAGACACAGACGTCCATCCCCGTGAACACTGGGACGGAACTCAATGGGAAAGTAAATGATTCTTATTTCAACCATTGCGTATATTAGCTGTAAAATATGAATCAAGATGCTATGACCGAAAAAATTTGATTGACAGATGACCTTTGATATATGATTGGCCGAATTTAGGTGTACAAGCTGACGTATAACTAACTGGCCTGCATAAGATAACTACAAAAAAACACAGATTAAAAGACTTAATTTTTTATTTACATTTTGGGACTGATAAAAAGTACATTTATATACATGTTTAAGCCAGAAGGATTTGACATTTAAATATGATTTTCATACGACTTTAAGACCTTTGTTGACTGGGTCTGTGACTGTGCAGCAAGGGCGAGGTCTGTGGTCTATTCCTATTTTTTTTCTTAGTCATGACATGGAAATAAAATAACATTGATGTATTAAAGTTTCTTCTTTATTGGGCTTATCCAGTTTTTTTTTAAATATTAGACGACCGGTATTTTTGCCGCAAACAAACACATCAATATTTAAATGAATAAACGCTTGAAATTATAAACTCTGTATTGAATAAGTGCAATATCTAATAGGTATGTTTGATTTTTTTTATTGGCTTATTAAAATAATTAACATTGTCAGTGATCCTTAATCTCTGTGTAGAAAAAAGATTTACCAGTTGCCATTCACTAAAAGTTGAACAAGCCTCGAGTTACTTTTTTCCTTCATGGCTTGCAGCCCCGATAGTTTGCGTGTTGCTCATTATCCTGAACAAATAGGATTAGAGGCAGGAATTAAAATGCTTGGTTCTTGCTGAAGTTGTCTTGATGGTTGGCTGAGGCCATGCCCCAACCCCCATCATCAAACTCAGACAAACACAGTCCACCTCCCGTGCACAGATCACACTTACTGGCAGGAGCTTAGTGCCTGCACCAGTGCCAGATGGGGATCGCTGTGCATGTGCCTAGTTTGTAGAGAGAGAAAGAGCGATCAGGGCACAGCTGCCATAATGGAGAGATCAGCAGTGAGTTTCAGCTGCCATGCAGGAACAGGGCAGTTCTGTGTCTGCCCATTTGATCAGTTCCTGTCTCATGGTCGCTGTCGGTCTTGTCTGCTTCCATCGTTGAGACCTCTAGCTCCCCTTCGGCCTTGGATTTCCTGCTTTATTCTGTTCCTCCCGACATTCTGTCTAATAGAGTGACTGCAGGACAACCTCAGGCGCATCTAATGTCTTGGAGAAAGCCAAAAAGTCAGTGTCTGCAGTATGTGTAACTTACTGCTGATTTAAATGCAGTAGATGGAGAAACCTCTTATATATGATTAGAAATTATGCCTTTTTTTAGTTAACTGGAAGGAAAAACACCACATTTGTAGCGTATGTCCTGTTACAAGCCCTTATAAAGTGAAAACCACTAAATTCAGTAGCCATAGATATTTCTTGTCTGAATTGAGGAAAATGTAATGTTTTGCATTATTTGTTGTTTTGACTTTATTAAAAATTAGACTGTTTTCAGTGCTTCCGATCTGCTCGTCATATGGGAGCATTTAACCAAATCACAGCAGCAATCCTCGTGGTTGAGAGGACTGAACAACCTGTGGCTTATTCTTGAGGCAAACATCTAAAATTTAGATGAAAGCAAGACAGATGGCTAAGAGTCAGAAGGAAGAAGGACACCATTTTCTGCCTTGGATTTATAAAAGCTCTTGTATTCTTTCTTTAAGAAAAGCAAGAGGGTTTTAAAAGCACCAAATCACATCTCTTTTTGCAAAAAAAAAAAAAAAAACTTTCTATAAATTCAGGTTATGATCCTTTCTAGCTATAAAGTTAGAAATAATTAAAGGAAAGTTAAGTTGGTTGTCAGGACTCATTTCTGGGTTTTCTTCAACCTACATGTGCATGAATGTATTATGAAACCAAGGGTTCTTAATGTCTGTTACATTAATGTAGCAGCAGGCAAAATTACATTTTTGACTGGTCATCCAAACCTTATTCCACCAGACCTCTTGGAGAAAGTCACTCTGTTTGTATCCCAAGCATTGAAAAGAAGTTGGGAGTTGAAGGGCATTAGTATAGAGTAATAACGCATATCATGGTGTGTTTCACTGGTAACCGGAATTATTGTTCTGAAAGTCTTCCCTGTCTGGAAGAATGGGACTCTGTAGAGTTTTTGGAGGGTGAATGACAGTCCCAGCCAGGTAAAAATAGGAGACCACCTACATATGTCCTTACAGCATAACTGGGTCTTTTTTACAGTGTCAGAACATGATGCATTGCAAAGTCAGCATTCACATCATCACCTGGCTTCTTGGTTTTCTATTTATTACTCAAGTACATTAAGTAGCAACAAGGGTTACAAAGTTGACAGGGTGTTTATACTAGTATTTGTGAATACCTCAGTCTTTGTTACCAATTATTTTGTTACGGCAATACTTGAATGGTCAATGCTTGAAGGATTTGCGACCAAGTGGATGTGATCAGGAACAGAGAAACAAATGGTCATTAGCGACAGACCTCCGAACTTCATGGGGCTTTCAGCTTATGTAAAGAGCTTCATTAAAATTTGGCATCCATGACCAACGTGGTGCAAACAAACCTTACATGACAAGAAGATTTGCGGTCTGACAACCTATTGGATGAGTCACGCCTTGGCAGCTAACTGTAAGAGTACTTTTGTTGTCCCAATTATCCTAAGTGTGAAGGTTGGTCAACAGGATGTTATAGTGTGGATTTCCTTCAGAGGTTTGTACAGTCCTTAATGCATCACGATTGAAGGAACAGCTGGGACAACTCATGGTCCAAACTATGTGGGGACAGCTTGTTGTTGTCCCCTTCTGATCCCACCTAACTGCACGCTAAGCCACAAAGCAAAGCCAAGGGATCTTGATAATGAGTGTGAGAAAGCCCTGCCCTCACACCAACAGTGCACTTTTTAAAATGAAATGAAGAGGAGACTATCTGAGAGTTGCCCTTTTGTTCTACATCTGTGCTTGACCTCACAAAGAGCCCAATAACATCTATTTCCATAAGCAGCTATACCTTGAGGATTGCCTTATCTATAGAATCAAAAGTGTTAAAGCTGCAAAGAGAAAGAAGTTTAATTTTAGAGCCCTTATATTAGGAATGGGATGTTATATAAGTTTTTGCTTATTTTTCAAAAATAATCAAATAAAATAATCAAATTACTCTGTGAACTTCAATCCTGACTGAATAAATCCTGTTTTGAACTCTGCAAGAAAAGAATATCTCAAACCACAACTCTAAGCAAATATCTCTTTTTATGTCATAAGGAAGATATGACCTATTGGACTTGTAATGAGGAAAAGCTGACATTACAAATAGATTAATGATGTGAAGGCACAGGAAAAGGATGCATGGGATCCATACTTGGTTCCCTTATGTAAACACTTAGGTCTGTTCTTTTAGATGCACAGCTCCACCTGAAGAAACTTGCAACTGACTTTGTCATAAACCATAATAAAAGCCCAGTGAGGGCCTGGAAACAATCGCCGCTGATTTTGACAGTGTAAGCATCACTTCAGTTAAACTATACAAATGGAATCTGGCAGAAGATGCCTGTGTTGCAGGTCTGCTGCTTGAATTACTGTTTAGCTCTAAGCTTTTTTTTTTTTTCTTTCTGCTAAAGAACTTCAAGGCTTGCATGTATAGTTGATAAACTGGCCATGTGTGAAGTCTGGCATCACACCAAAAAGCATTAACAGCTTTATTTTTGTTTGTCAGGACCATTCACTGCCTATACCTTTTATCATCCAATGAGTAATTGCTCTCATAGTTTGATAATTTAAAGTGGGTTTGCCTGAAAACTTTCGCTCCTTTGGTTCATTTCTCACTGGTGGCAGCTCAGTAAACCAAATTGAGTCTTTTGTTTCTACAAAGGGAAGCCATGTGTGAGGTTGTTCAGGGACAGCTAGACTTCCATTCACGCATTGAAGCTGATAGCAATGAGTGTTTACTGTTAAAAAAAAAAAGAAAAAAAGAAAAATTGAACATATGGCAGTAATCTGCTTGGACCTTTA